CAAAAGAAGAAGATATGACTCTGGTGGTTTTTCATCTTTAAGTTCTGCTCAGTAGCCCTGCCCTTGAAGCTTGAAGAAATGAAATGGGAGAAGGGAGGAAAGAAGATCTAGAATCATATTCTAATGTCCATTCACCTTTATTTTTGTTGTTATTGACCTGAAATAGATACTTGTTGAGACAGAACTGTGCATTTTGAAAACATAAAAGTAATGTCGGGTTTGAGAAAATGCTTCCGATTTTCAATCTTGAAAAACACCTTTTGTTTTAATTTTAAATTTTCCTAAAGACTGCGATAACCTTTTTTTAATGCAACGGTGCAACCTACTTAAAACAATGAGCGTTGAACTTCAGCCTCCTGCGACATTGGTTAAACATGAAATCCTTATATACACAACTGGTAAGTTGTCGCTCCAATGAGCTTATATACACAACACTTGATAAGTTTTCGCTCTAATGAGCTTGAATCTGATCTGATTCTCGGTCTTGCAAATGTATATCTGAATTCTTGTCTGTTTTGTTTAATTACTTTATACTTTCATATAAGGGACGTTGCTTAGCCATGTATGTTGATTTTCTGTTTCATATGTGTAAAGTTGAAAGATGATAGGATGATTCTTGACAAAACGGTAGCTGATCAAGTGTCTTCATGGAAAGAAGCAGAGGCCTCAGTGATACAGTGGTGACTGATCATGCTTGCTCTGGCGAAACTTGCTCTTACCATCATATTGGAGATGTATTTATTTGCGAGAAGACTGGACATGTTCATGGTGGGACACGCCATTTCTTTTTGTGTTTTAATGATGCACAAAAATTCATTATTTTATTTAAAAATTTGAATCTGGACTAGAGCTTCATTATTTTGTTTTCTTTTCCCCGGTATGTGATGATACATGTAGAGAAGTTGTTATGGACCCGGCCAATGAGCTTTTTGTCTGTACAATATCGGGGCACTGTTTTGATAGATTACTGTCACCATCCGAAATGGAGCCTGATGCTGTAAGTTAACGATTCCTCTGTCTTACATGTGTATTTTTCTTATTGAGATTCTGAATGACATTTCCTAGTATTTTATCTGTCCAAATATATCATATTGAGGTAGTGGGCCCTGACTTTACTGTCATGTGAGATGAACTGCGTACATAATCCAATGAGTTATGTTACTACATTTGCTTCAGGGTTTAGTTTCGTTAGTGTCGTGAAACCAAGAAATAGATTGAAGCTTTTATTAGAAATTTGATGATTCACCTCAACTTATCAGAATTAAATTTAGAAACTCTTTAACGGAGGTACAGTTTTACACCTAATGCTTCGCCTTTTTCCTTTGGAAACTCAGGAGCAGCAACAAGGAGGTGTGACCGATGAAGCAGAACCATTTATGGGATCTGGTCGTTTTGGTAAAACAGATTCATTCTTTTACTGGTCTTCTGTATGGTTCTGTGCCTGAAACTCATTATGGTGCGTTTTTTCTTTGCAGCACGAGCTTATTTACTGTGATATAAGTGTGCTGATGAGAAGGAGCTTGAAGCTACTTTGAGGCTTTGCTGATTCCCATATTGATCTGCTGTATGGTGGGGGTTTTATTGTGGGCTCGTGGGTATGGTTTAAATGATCAAATTTATGGATGTATCTACCTATTTTAATTATAAAATAGATAGATAGATGTTTTCCTACATTAAGACGGTGACTTGTGATTATGGAGGCTCATCCAGCGTATGGATTTATGATTAGCCTTGTAATACTTTGCAGCTGTTATTCCTTGTTAATAGACATTTGCTTTAATGTATAGTTGAATCCATTGTAGACGCTTTCTTCCCCAGTTACTGCTTACGGTAGTTTGAAAGAGAGAGGGAATTGTTGCAATTTGGGCTGCTCTTCTTCGGCTTTAAAACTGGTAGGTAAAGTGGCATACAGAAGAAGAGAAATATTGAGCAAACAAACCTATGTTTATTTCTAAGAAAAATGGCTTTGGCAGGATAGAAAAGGGGGGTTGCGAATAAGTGGGAGAGGGAATGACTTGTTTGACCTCATTGGCATGTGTGATTCTTTTTCTTATGGAATGGAACGTTTCTTTAATCAGCTCTCCGTCCATAAATGGTGGATTATGATCTGAGCCTGTAACACTTCGTATGTTTGTTGGCCATAAATACTTCATATATTTGGACGAGTGTAGTGAAGCTAACTTTTCTCCTGTTTCTTATTTTTCCTTGTATTTTTAGTTATATTTGGAAGATTTTTTTAAACTTTTAAACTCTTTCTACAATTCATCTCATTCTTGTAATCTTGTTACATAAATGAGCCGCATGGGACTTTATTTTCTCAGTATTTTGTTTAGACGCACGTGGGCATTTGCTTATCTCTATGTCTGTGTATGAGAAGCCTAGAACGTTGTGTTAATGATAAATTACGAATAGTTATTGGTGGGCAGAAGGGATGCAGATACAAGTCAAAATGCATTAAACAATTGAATGTGCTCATCTTCGGGGAATGTTAAAAAATGAAAGCGTTTTTGCCTTTCCCCTCTAACAAGCAACTAGTTCCCGGCCGTTTCAATTTACCCTTTTTTTTTCCTGTCCCAGTTATTTTTAATATATTTCACACAGATTAAAAAATAAATAAATTTCATTAACTCTAATTTAAAATTTAATAACTTTTTAACTTTATCCCTATTTAATATACATTATACTTCATATAAATAAAGTTAATATAATAATAAATGAAAAGAAAAATTGTATATTTATACGAAAAATTTCTTTCAATATCCTATAAATAAGACAAAAACGTCTTTTTTTCCCCATATAAATAGAAAAAGAGGAGTACATTGTAAATTAAATGAGGATGAAATTGGAAAGTTATTGAATTTTAAATGAGAGTTAATAAATTTTAAATTTTTTGTTGATTTATGTGAAATATGTTGAAAGCGACTTATAAATAAAACGATAGAAATACTTATTAATCGTTTAAAATTCTCTAATTTAGTCTTCTATTATTAATTTTTCTCTCAATTTGTTATCATTTCCATTACATAAGGAAAGATGTAATTAAGGCATTGTTCAAATCTGTTTATCTAGGTGCCTATGAACATGTTTTATGTAAGTTAAAACAAAACTTTATTTATATGCTTGTCTCATAATCCATAAATTATTACTACCTTCGGTTTTTACTCGTTTGATTTTTATTTTGGTCCTAAATATAAGACTCCAATTTATTTTGTCTCTCATATTTATATTTTTTTAAGGTAGTCTTTCTAATAATAGCAGTTGTAGCCAATAGACATGATTAGTAAGGATGTCTTAAGAAAAAATAACACAAATTTATTACAAATAATTAATTTAATTTATTTTTTTTAATCTTTTTAAATCAGTCAACTAATTTTTATATTTAGCATCAGAGGTAGTATTAAAAAACAAGTCCTAAAAGCTTCGTGGGGACCCACCAACAGAGTCAAACCTCATTTGCTCATAAATCATAATCATAACAATAAAAAGGTACCTGTGCCCCTTGAGCTTCATAGCAAGCTAGTGTTTGCAAAGCAGAGCTTGCGCAATGCGCAATAGGCGGGGCCGAAAAGAAGCAAGACTTGTAGGACTGAAATTGGGATAAAAATTTATATGTCGCCCGTGCTCCACAAGAAATCAAGACACGCTTCCAGTTATATGTTTAATTATTCTTTTTAAATATTTTCTATATTTTCAAATAGAGGAGGGTGACCCTTTCTTGGTTCCATTTTCACCGGCGCTCCTCTCCAGCGAGTTGCGTGTTATTTTTGCTTCTGGACAAACAAGTTAACCATATGTGATTTATATATTTATTACTCCTCCGGTCCTAATTATAAGACCCAATTGACTTATTTGAGGAGATTAAGGAAGTAAGTTAAGTTGGTTATTTATAATAAATAAGTGTTGTCATTCCTAAAATATCCTTGCTAATTAAGTATATTGGCTAAAACTATCATTATTAGAAGGATTATCTTTGAAAAAAATGCATAAATATAAGAGATAAAATGGATTGGGTCTTATAATTAGGACCAAATAAAAAGTCAAATTGGGTCTTATAATAAGGACCGGAGGAGTATTAAGCAGCCTCATGACCTCATCAAACTTTCAGTGAATTGGATTCTGAAAACAGGATATGCTTTTGAGTAAAAAATAAAAGTGCATATGAAAGAATTTATAATTTCTCTTTTGCCAACGAATTTATAAATTAATTACCATCAACATCTTTCCATGATAACATTGATAATAAGATTTGAATTCAAAACACTTTTTCGGCATGTATTATAAGTTTCAAATAACTAATTTAAATATAATAAAAAAATTAGTTAAAATTAATTAAAAATTATAAGTAGGTAATAAATAAATTTTTATTTTTAAATATGTCTTTGTAATAAATAAGAAAAGTGATTAACAATGTATGAAAAATATGATAAGAAAGGGTAAAGAGAGAAAATAAACTATTAAGAGCAAAATAAAAAAAATATTAAATTTTAAGAGAAACTTAAAATTCATTACACGTTTACTTAAATTTGAGCATTATAAATAGAATTGATAGAGGACTTGTTTACTTATCAACCAAGTAACATTGTCGCGCTTGTTCGCCTAACCGGCGAGGCTCATGAATGACGCCAAATATGATTTCTTATCGAAGAGGATAAGCCGACCCCTGTGCGTTTTCACACTTGGAAGTCGGAAAACATCTCTGATCTATTTGATACATTGACTTAAAGGGTGTTTGGAATACTCAAGGTGATTATAAGAAATATTTTTTCACAGAACAAATTTTTTCGTATATTTATTTTGTAAATTATAAAAGTATTTTTAAAACTAAAATTTGATTTTTATCCAAATTCTCCGTAGAGAGCTAGAGCCATGTATGAATAGATTTTTTTTAAAAAACCAGAATGTATGAATAAATACCAATGGAGGATCCCTTCATTTACGTGCCAAAAGCAAAGAGTGGCAAATTGAATCTTATCTACAGTATTCTCATTTACCTAACTCTCTTTTTCCTGAGTTCTGTTTCCTGTGCAACAATATGCCCATTCAGCTCTTGGCTTTCTTCTTTCTCTTCTTCTGTCTTCCTGCCACTTTCTTCTTCCTGTTCAAAGGCCCGTCCCCTGCAAACATCAAGAGGAAGAAGAAGAACGAGCTCGTTGCTCCGCTCACGACGACCCTCCCAAAATCATACCCTCTAATCGGTTCCTATCCAGAACTTATAGCCAATTACGACCGCCGGATCCAGTGGCTCTCCGATGTCGTCCTAATATCACCGGCCAATACCTACGTCCTCCATCGCTCCCTGGGGCAGCGAGCTGTCGTTACCGGCAATCCCGCCGTCGTACAACACATTTTGAAGAACCATTTCCCAGTTTACCAAAAGGGTCAGGCCTTCCGCGAAACCCTCACCGACTTTCTGGGCAACGGAATCTTCAACACCGACGGTGAAACCTGGAAATTACAAAGGCAAATCGCAAGCCATGTATTCAACACCAGGTCTCTGCGTAAATTCGTTGAACAGGTTGTGGACACCGAGCTCAACGATCGCCTCATTCCTATTCTGGCCACGGCGGCAGCCCAAAACCAAGTCCTTGATTTTCAAGACATCCTCCAACGATTCGCATTCGACAACATTTGCAAAATCGCTTTCGGGTTCGACCCAGAGTACCTCTCGCCATCACTGGGGCAGAGCAAGTTCGCTCAAGCCTTCGACGATGCCACGGAGATCAGCAGCAGAAGGGCCAGTCACCTGCATCCCTTAATCTGGAAAATACGGAAGCTTCTCGACATTGGATCGGAAAAAAGATTGCGATTAGCAATCTCTGAAGTGCGCGAATTCGCTACGAACATAGTCAGAGATAAGAAACGCCAGCTCACCGAGGGGGCTTCTCTTGAATCAGCCGACATGTTATCAAGGTTCTTAAGTTCGGGGCATTCGGACGAGGAGTTCGTGACGGATATAGTAATCAGCTTCATATTGGCAGGTAAGGACACAACCTCCGCTGCTTTAACGTGGTTTTTCTGGCTTCTTTCAAAGCACCCAGAAGTGAGAAAGAAGATCGTGAACGAGGCAAGCGAAAAATCAGAAGCCCAGGTGTACGATGAAGTGAAAGATATGGTATACACCCAGGCAGCGTTGAGCGAGAGCATGAGGCTGTACCCGCCGGTGCCGATGGACTCAAAAGAAGTAACGGCCGACGACGTATTGCCAGATGGAACCGCCGTGAAGAAGGGGATGAGAGTGTTGTATCATGTGTACGCCATGGGAAGGATGGAGAAGCTGTGGGGGAGCGACTGGGCGGAGTATAAGCCGGAGAGATGGTTAGAGAGAGAGGGAAGTGGTGAAGATTCAGAGAAGTGGAGGTACGTGGCGAGAGATCCGTTTAGCTATCCAGTGTTTCAGGCGGGACCAAGGATTTGTCTAGGGAAGGAGATGGCGTACTTGCAAATGAAGAGGGTGGTAGGTGCGATTCTGACGAGGTTCACGGTGGTTCCGGCGATGCTGGAAGGGATGGAACCACAGTTCGTTGCCTTCTTGACCTCTAAGATGAAAGGCGGCTTTCCGGTCAAGATTCATTCTTTGGCCTAAAACTGTCTTTCAAGTCTGCAATAAAAAATTGTACTCTTTATTTGATTATATATATTGTTTTTTTTTATCGTGAGAATTAGTCAATCATGTAAATAAAAATTATTATGCTAATTTTTGTTTTCCGATCAAATGAAAAGTACCCACAAACACTTTTCAGAGCTTCAAAAAGTCAAACCTGTTCATAAGGGCGAGTAATATAGGAAGGGTGCTGGTCAAATTAGGAAGCCTGGACACCAAGCGAGGAGTTCCCAGACAAAAAAATTGCAATAAAAGAAAAAATTTAACAAGCTGCTAAATTTTCTTCCAAATGTTAATTATATTTTTTAATATCCAAAAGTTAATTCTTCGAACCTTCTTTGTTTTCCTCATTGGTAATTACATTATCCAAATTTGTTGATACAAATTTAAAATTTTACTTTTCTTAAATGGTAGATTCAATTTTTTTTAAAAAAGTGATAGTTAAAAAAATTACTCTATTTTAAATTTTACATCTGTTCAAATAATAAAAATATTACACCTATTCAAATAATAAAAGTACTAAAAATTATCATAAAATTAAATTAATCCTGAATTATTCAAATCTAATTTGGTCGTTACATATCTGTCATGAGCATTGTATGCTAATCAAAATGATGGGATGGAATGTACTTTTCGTTGGCGCAAAAAAAAAAAGTAAAAAAAAAAAAGGAAGGAAGTGTACTTTTCGTTGAGTTTACGCGGCCACATTTTTTCCTTCTCTTTTTGGGTCAAAAAAGTCAAATTTATCAATTTCTCAAAAAGAAATGCAAACACCAAAAGCCCAAAGGCCAATCAAAGCACTCAAAAAAAGTCTAGAGTACAACCAAACACACCAACGAAATCAGGAAAAAAAAAAAGGATCCGACATACAACCTACAAAAAGTAGAAATTTAGAACATGTTTGGAACAATTTATAAGTAGCTTATAAACTACTCCCTCCGTTTTTTATTATAAGAGACGAATAACCGAATTACGTTGATCAAAAAAACAGTTAAAATTAGTTAAGAACAATTAATGTGTAAAAAGTATAATTTTTTTTCTAAAAATGCCCTCATTAATAAGGAGAGAGAGCATGAGAGAACAATAGTAAATTCTTAAAAGAAAGAGAAGTGGGAAGGAGAGAGAGTGTGAGTTGGAGACAATAAATATGGGTAAAATAGGAAATCAACATAAAAAAATAGAGACAACTTTTAAGTGTCTCTTATATTTAGGAACATGCTATAAGCATCAAATGTCTCTTATAATAAGGAACGGAGGGAGTATTTTTTAATAGTGATTTGCAGAATACAAGGCAAGTTATACAAGTATGTGAGAGGAGTTTTGTCTTAACTTACGTGAAACGTGCTAAAAGGAGATTTCCACTGCTCTGCCAAATGGGATCTTAACCAAATAGTTTGAAAATAGAAATCAAAAAGTGGGCCCACACCTCATCTACCAAAACCTTTGGCTAAACCAGAAAATTGAGATATCTAAACCACTCTCCTTCTTGCAGCATTCATTGGAACCTTCACTACTTCCCAACTCATAGCATCAAAAGCTGAACATTTAACAAGAGAGGGTGATGGTGACTCAATCCACCCAAATGGGCACATTCCCTTTCTACATTCAACAACACACACAATTTGCTCTTTCATTTCCCCTTTAGCAAGCAGTTCAAGGCATCAGTGACCTCCTGCATATACCGCCTACCTATCCATTCTGCATTTTGAACAGACTTATTTTTCCAGCACCAATATACATCAGCACAATAGATCTTCAAATGGCTAGGACTAGGAGCTCTCCAACCTTTCAAGTCATCTCACCTACCTCTGACCCTTTCCACACTTATCTCCCAACCCTTAGCCTACCGGAATTCCCTAACTGCCTTAGTTGCAGAATCAATTACCTTTGAAGGATTAGGTACATTAGTCTCAAAAACTGCACTATTCATTTCCTTCCAAATTAGCCATACTAACCACATCATCTGTGCTATCTGAAACACATCAACCAAGTTTCCATTCCAAATTAACCATATTAATCACATCATCTGTGCTATCTGAAACTCATCAACCAAGTTTCCATCCATGATCAACCTGAACTGCTACATTTCCTCTTCATAAGAGCTTCACTCACAGGAACTACACCAACCAGACATCTCCAAATGAACTATCCCTCATTCTCCACACCTTCACCCGGATTCCACTTGGCAAAGCAAACGAAGAACTAACTCTATTAGACTATTACTAACCACCTCTCGTTTTCCTTTGGCTTCAACATAACCGTTTTTGATAAATTTACTAGCTCTATTACTAGCCACAATTTTTTCCTTCTTTTGGACCAATAATTTTACTCATATATAATTATTACCAAAACAAATTAATGATATGTAATATAGTATTCTCTTCAATCCTCGATAAAGCGTCAATTAAAAGACTTTATTTTTTATATTTTTATATCTCAAATATATAAATTTTTTAAATTATTTTTATTGACTGTATGTATTAAAGAAAGTCTTAGAATAATGATTAAAAGGGTTTTTTCTTTTCTCGGATAATATCATTTCTTTTCCCTCCGGGATAAGTCTTTTGACGCGTCATTTACGTTTGACGCGTTTTTCCTATATGTGAGCGCTCAGACCAAATATATATTCCCAAACACAACGCCCTGCATTCCCAAAGTTTTTCCTTCTCTCCTGTGCTAGAATTTTGTGAATCTCTGATCGTGCCTGCCATAGAATCTGTGAGTTCCTTTTTTGTTTTATCCTTCGCGTTTTCCAGGATGTGCCTTTTGCATTGAATTGATTCTTTGACTTTTTCCTTGAGATTGCTCCGAATTCTGTTGGTTTCTGGTTTGCTTGAATGGTGTTGATTGTTCTTGCAAAAGCAAAATGTTTGGCTGCCGATTGTCTTCTGACGTCAATTTTGTGGATTTCTGAATAGCGAGTGAAAATTTTCTGGTATCCAGGGCCTCTTCTCTTGGGTATTTCTTTCCTTAGATTTCTTTGCCCTGATCCATGATCACTAGGTCAGCGTCTTCAGAATCTAGATCCCTTGAGATGGAGATAATCAGCGATGTTGAGATGGTTTGAACTCGGTTCAGAATGGTTTACTTATCTGTTAGATCACAATTGTGATATTTTGATTAAAGTTTTGGGCATGTCTGCTCTTCGGTGATCCTGACCACAATGAGGAAGAATTCATTGTTTTAAAGACCATTTTTCATCTATTACTTGGCTTTACCCACTTCCCTGAAATATAACATTGACAATTTGGCATCTTCAGCATAATATGACTTGGGATTTCAGAATTCTTATCTTGTAGTTTGTTTACGTTTCTTCCCCTCTCTTGTTCTCATAAAAGTGATTCCTTCTCTACATGTATACTATGCCTCGTGTTATGAATCAAAATTCAAGACATTAGCTCATTTTGTTGTCAATTTCTTACCAGGAATCATCAGCCCTTTGCTCGAAAGATGGGAGGTGGAAAGGACAAGCATGATGAATCTGACAAAGGAATTTTTTCACACCTGGCTCATGCTGCAGCTCAAGGCGGACATGGGTATCCTCCTGGTTCCTACCCTCCACATGGGTACCCACCTCAGCAAGGCTATCCCCCGGCAGGGTACCCACCTCAGCAAGGCTATCACCCGGCAGGGTACCCACCTCAGCAAGGCTATCCCCCGGCAGGGTACCCACCTCAGCAAGGCTATCCCCCGGCAGGGTACCCACCTCAACAAGGTTACCCTCCTGCTGGTTATCCCGGTCCATCTGCTCCAGGTATGACGTCTTTGTATAATTTTCATCATTAAATCTTTACGTAGCTGACTATTGCAATGGTCTGACAAGTAAGTTTCTCTTATGGCCGTAAAATAGTAAAATTGTGAAGCTGCCTGTAATTAAAGAAGCATTAATAAGCTGAACTTAACTGAAACAATGGTTTCTTTTCAGGCACCTGAACTTGTATGCTGCAAAGTATGTAGAAACTAGTAACACCATATGATTTCTGAATGACATAATCCTTGATTTAATGCACTGAATTCTGACTCAAACGTTCTATTTGGGCTTTGCTTAAAGATTTAGTCTTATGTGGTGTATGTGAATAATGACTGCCGTTAATCTGTGGTAACTGTGATTTGTGGATGTCTCGTAGCATTTTGATCCTCAATAGTTGGCAATCTCAAATCTCAACTATTATTTTAGCTGAAACGTTCTCTACTTTGTTTTCACTTTTTCAGCTTGCCTGTGTTTATTATGTTATGGGTTTGTGAGTTGTGACTGACGTGTTTTTTGACCGCTACCTTCTGCACATATCTTGTCGGAATCAGCTAAATGATTTGTAACATCATCAGGTCATAGTCATGGTCATGGCATGGGAGCGGTGCTTGCTGGGGGTGCTGCACTTGCAGGTGCCGCATACGGCGCTCACCACCTTGGCCATGGTGGTGGTCATTATGCGCATGGTGGTCACATGGGCCATGGCAAATTCAAGGGCCATGGCAAGTTCAAGCATGGAAAGTTCGGAAAACATGGGAAACACGGCAAACATGGGAAGCATGGTGGATTCGGGTTCAAGAAGTGGAAGTGATCTTATGTCTCTCAGACATCTTCTCCAATACTTACTGCCTTCGTTTTTAAAAATAAGCCATACTTCTGAGCAAGCCAGCCTGTTCTTGGCTCGGCCCCCCTTTTTCGCTTTTTGGGAATTTGATATATGACCCGTGTGTTCCTAGTTTGGATTCTAGAATCTGAACGGCATGAATCATAGATGTAAAATTCTGGCTTCTTTGCTATAGCGACTAAGATGACTAATGCCAAGTTTGTTTTGTTTTTGTCACCCTTATCGGAAAAGCGAGGGATTCTGATAGTCAAGAACATGATCGGTTTGTTGGTGTTTCTAGCCCATCTTTAGCCCAGAAAAGTAAAGGGGAATATTATTGCCAAAATCACAAGGACAACACGTATCTACTATTATGAAAACTCAAGATTATTTTTAGAGGATCTTGATTATATATTTTCTTTATTTAAGTTTAATCTTCAATCTGTTTATTTCATCTAACTTTATTCATATCATTAAGTTTTAAAATATCTACATTTCTACTATTCTTAATATAGAACTTAATTAACTAATTTGAGTATATTAAATATATTGGTTAAATTAGTTAATATGATATGTTTTTTCCAAAATGTCCTAAACATTTTTTTTAATTTTTCTCCTTCCTCTCCTACCTAATTCAATCGAATTAATTTGGGAAAAGATTGATAAACATGTAAAATAGATTTTACATAAAAGACTAACACAAACTCGTTAATTAGATCCTATGTTAGAAATAAGAGGAGTATGTTTCAATTTTATAACTCTGTATTAACAGGATATGGTGAGGCTGAAGAAGATAAAAAGATAAAAATAAGTCTGAAAATTATAGAAGGAAATTTAGGTTCAATTTAGATTTTGTCCATCTGATGCATATTTTATATACACACACACCCCCGCACGCGCGCGCGCGCACACATATAGATAACAAGTTACATTATTTATAGTGCGATTCCACATTGAGCTAAACAAATTAAAGCCAATGACACGTTAATTTAAACAGACATTAATAAGTGATGAAACCAGAATCCTTCGAGTACCTTTGAAAGAGGCATTACTGTTTCAATGAGATGGATTCGTACGAGCGTACTTGTTCCTGGTATTGTACAGGGCTGAAACAGTTTCAGCAGCAAAAAGAACATCCTCGTGATTTTGCAACCGAATCAATATTTGGATACTCTAAAACTTCTTAATGTGTAAAGTTGAATGGGGCAAATAATGTGTGCGATTTTACCTTCACATAACCAATAAGATTGCCTAATCAAGGTCTCATATAATACGTTTATGTTGCTCCCTGCCTGTCGCAGAGGGGCCGGTACGACACAAAATGGTTTCTGAGGAATAACGGACATCCACCTTGCAATAACTAGCAGTCATCAATATTGTCAATTGATTATACCAAACCAACATCAATAAGACTATAAGCCACGGTCTTTCTTAATCCTTGGTCTTGGATAGTTTGCCTCAACTCTGTAGCATCCTTCCAGCTTCCTGCAGCAACATACATATTCGCCAATGAAATGTAATATCCAACATTTTGGGGATCCATTTCAAACAGAATTTCAGAAACTTTTCTCCCCAGTTTGAGTTCTCCATGATAGTTGCAAGCACTCAAGAGGGCTCCCCACAAACCGGGGCTTGAATTGGAGGGCAACTTCTTAATGAACTCATAAGCCTCATCAAGCCTACCAGATCTACCTAGCATATCAACTACATAAACTTGATGCTCAGTCTCAGGCTGTACTCCATATTTCTCCAACATACAGTTGTAGTATCCAAGACCTTCGTTCACGAGTCTTGAATGGCTGCAAGCTGATAAAAGGCTGACAAAAGTACTTTTAGTCGCTCTTATTCCGGACCCACGCATTTCATGAAACAGGTTGATTGCTCTCTCGCCATTTCCATGATATCCATATGCAGAAATCATTGAATTCCAAGCTGCTTCAGACTTCTCCTTTGCATGTGTAAATACCTGAAGAGCAAGGTCCAATCGTCCACCATTGCTGTACATGTCCACAAGAGCTGCAGATATAAAAGCATTATCCTGGAAACCAGACCTGAATATGTGGGCATGAACTTGTTTGCTATGCCTTAATACTCCCATTTGAGTACAAGCTGTGAGAACACTAACAACAGTTATCTCACTGGGCTTAAACGGAAGATGAAGAAACAGTTCCAACGCATCCCGACTCTCCTTGTTATGTGATAGGGCTGAGATCATGCAATTCCATGAACATAGGTTGAGAACAAAACAAAATTCAAACACTGATCTGGCGCTTTTGATGTCCCTGCACCTTCCATACATGGTAATTAATGAATTTTGAACCCGGATATCTGATCCCAAGGGAGATGTAAGGACAAGGCCGTGGAGACACCTTCCTTTATTGAGCAGCTCAAGATTTGCACATGCTGACAGGACATTTACAAGGGTTATAGAATCATAGTTGACAGAGGCTTTTCGTCTCATTGAACTAAAAGTTTCTAGGGCCTCTTGATAGTGGTTGCCTTTTACACATCCCACAATCAGAGTGTTCCACGAAGCTGTAACTGCCAAAGCTGAATTCTCTTGGAAAATTAAGAAAGCGGCTGTCAGGTCCCCACAATTGATGTACATGTGTATGAGGGAATTAACTGAAGGAATATGGTTTAGAAATCCTAATTTTAACTGCCAGCAGTGAACAGATTTTCCAAAGGATAAACTATATGTGGAACTGCAGGACGAAAGAACAGCCAAAACAGTCGATGAACTGCCACTGGGGAAGAAATGGAGAAGCTCCCTGAACAAACTTTGGGCTTCTTGGGAATACCCATTAATGGAATATCCATATATCATTGCATTCCAGGATACCAAGTCTCTCTCGTGGGCAGAATTGAACAGGAGCTCGGTTTTCTCTACAAGTTTGCACTTTGAATACATGTCTATCAAGCTGTTTAGTAGAGTAAGGTCAGATAGCATCTGTCTTCGTATTGCAAATCCATGGACAGTTCTTCCTTCTCTGGAGAGCATCACCACTGCACAAACTTTTAGAATGTTAGTCAATGTCACTGTATCAGGTTGAAATGATTCATAAGTCTGCATTTCAAGCAGAAGGTCAAACACTTCATTAACACTTCCATTTGAGGCATATCCTTCCATCATTGCATTCCATGAAACAATATCTTTGCACTCCATTTCTCTGAATACAGTTTCAGCCGCTTCAATATCTCCGCATTGTATATATAATGAAATGAGAGAATTGGGGACCGAAACATGCTGGCTATCCAGGTAACCTAGCTTCATTCCCAGCTCGTGAATTGACTGACCAAAATCCAGCTCTCCCAAAGCAGTAGACGCCGATATAGCACAAGACAGACTGACGCTGTCTGCTTCTTCTCCGGACAAAACCATATCCTTGAAATAATACAGTGATTTCTTTGGCTCACCATTATGAAGACTTCCTTTAATCATTGAATTCCAAGAAACTACATCTTTATATTTTATTTCTGAAAAAAGACACTCAGAGGATTTTAAAACGCCACATTTTGCGTACATATTAGTTAGAGCATTACTTAAACTTATATCCACAAGCATCCCAGTTTTTACACTCAAACAGTGAATTGCCCGCCCTTGCTCAAGGTTATTCATGTATGACGAAGTAGATACCAGAAGCAACAAAGTGGTGCAATCAAACCCACATTGCTCTTTAATCATGTTTCCGAAAAAATCCATTGCTGTCTTGTAGAGTTTGTTTTTAACCGATGCGGCAATAATAGAATTCCAAGCAATTACATCTCTGTCGTGAATTTCATCAAACAGAACTCTTGAAGAGCTGAAATCTCCAGCCTTACAATAAATAGTTAGTAGAGATGTCACAGTGGGCAGGTGAGCTAGAGTACCCGTCTTTAAGGCTATACAATGAGCAGCAGAAACCGTCACAAGCTTGGGCTTTTTGCTGGACGAGTTGATAAGATCATTTAGTACCCGTTGTGGCATTTCATCAAACGGTTGAATGGCAGTGTGAAAGAAATGACGTGTAAATAACAAGGCGGGAAGAGCACATGGTGGAATAGGAACCATATGTTTTCGAACGATCTCAAAGTCTCCATTATAGCTGTTCTGGAGAGAAAAAGGATGGGGCGATGGAAGTCTCGTTGGGGGAAGCAAGGCTAGATTCTGTAATCTCAATCTTGTTATGTGAACAAGGAAACGACTTGATGCTGATTTTAACATGAATTGCCAAAGTGTCCATGCTCTCATTTCGGTTTCATCTCAAAGCTAGTGGTGTAGACTTGTGTCTTTCAGTACAAAGCATCAATTTTAATGAGCTTTCGATTTCCATGAATATGCAATTCAAAGCAGTAATGACTGAAAATGTTGGAATGGTTCCAAACCTCCAATGTTAATTAAAACACCGAAGAAGTTATTCAGTTTGCAGCGCTTCTTTGGACGGATAGAGAATCGAGACAAACTTTTATCATCAGATGGAAACCCAAAAATGGAATTATCCATTGACCATTGGGTAGGAGGGGCTGGGTCGCGTTTCAAAATCAGTTTGCGCCGCGAACACGAATGTTCTTCATCCCAGGGATCTGGGTGCGAGTAGAGAAAATGTACCATTAACCCCTTATATGGATCTTTTGATTAATGCTAATATAATCTAATCATTTAAATTTATCTCCGCTCTTTAAATTTTTTTTCTTTAATTTTAATTCTTTTTCACATTTTCAAGATATCATTGATTTGGCCTCACATAATAGTAATAGTTAAATTTATTTGATTAATACATTCAAATTGACCTTTTATTACACATACTTAATATGTAATTAATAATGTAATATTGGGGCTATAATTTAATACCTTAATTTTTTATCAGTTAAATTTAAGCTTTTAACCGAGATTATAATTTAAGCTTTTAACCTCTATATATATATATATATATATATATATATATATATGCTAAAGTATAATTTGGTCTTTTATCTTTATACAAAATTTAAATTTGGTCTCTTAACTTTTAAAAAATATATTTTTAGTCTTTTAACTTTAAAATTTTTAATCGTAAATAATGATTTTTTATAACAATCATAATTATTTTGAAAATTAAAATTATTATATTGGCATTTAACAATATTTTATTAACATTTAAGATTTTAATATTATTATTTTTTATTAATGGTTTAAAGGTAAGAGAACTAAAAGTACAGTAAAGTTTGATTATTAAAAAAAAAAGTCCAACCACTTAAATTGCCACTCATAACAAAAATCACATAGATCGGCACATAATTTTGTTTGAAATATGAGTATATGACTAGACTGAAGGCCATTGCACTATTTAGAACTCGTGCATAATGTGACTCTCATAAATTTTATATTATTATTGATATGAATATTGATAATATTGATAGAGCCGAAATTAAAAAGAAAAAAAATATTGTGGATGTAAATTTTACTGTTGTAGATTTCCAATTTCCTAATTTGCACAACTGGACTAAGCCAAAATTTTTCTTTTCTTACTAATGCTAGACAATAATCAGATTGTCTCATCTCTACAGCAACTTACATCCTCTGTCGATCCATATCTTTCACTTATTTAAGCACTATCTTGACAGCCAGTTAAGTAAGAAAATCAAAAAAGAAATAAACTAAGCCATCTTCATATATCGCTCGCGGTATCCATCCATTGGGATGTTTTAAAAAAATATCGACCAACATGTCAGAACTCACCAAGGTGGATGATCATCCTCAGAAGTTGGAGGCGGGATTGGTTTCCATTCAGGTTTCTCATCCCAGTACATATCATAATATATGTGACCAGGAATGTGATCACGCACACAGCACCATATGCCCACATATCGCTTTACACGTCTTCTGAATCTATCTTCCCTTTCCTGAAAAAGTAATTTGGGGATGGCATCAACACATAATAAGTGAATTCTCTTATTCTCATCTTCCACGTTTTACTCGGAGAAAAATGGAAATTAGATACTTTGCAGTAGTATTGTAGAACCAGAGGGGGATAACGAAGCAAGGAAAAGTTTGGGGCCCATTTCATTTATTTACACTTTACTTCTTACTTCATTTGTTATTTCACCTCATTTGTTATTTCACCTCTCTCTTACAACACTATATGCGGTACAAGGAATTTTAACTCGGAAAAAAATGGCCTCACCTTGTCGGCAAAACCAGTGAAAGCATTTTGCATTGAGGAGAACTGGATGACTTTGACAGCCTTGAATGACGAGAATACCTTGATGAACTGAAAATTCAAGTGGAAACATAATCCATGGCTCGTTTTAAAAAGCATACATTTTTGATAGAAAATGAATGAGGCTATAAGGTCCGTTTGTTTTAAGTTGAGAAAAAAGTTATTTTAGTTGATTATACAAAGGAGATGTTAATGTTAGGAGTTGTTATGGGGTAAAGATAGAGGAATGTGCTGAAAATAATCTACTTATTTTGATAAGTTAATTTCAACCCATCTCCCATATTTACCTCAAAGTTCTCCCAACAACTCCTCATATTTAATCAACCAAAATCACTTTTCTCTTAATTTTGAACAAACTCGCCCGATATTCAACCCAAAAGACAATTTAATCAAATGCATTCTTTCTTTAGATAAACTGCAGATGTAGACTCAGGAGACCAGTCTCTGCCTGTACATACAAATGCATTCTTATTTGTATAACTAATCTAACATATACTAATATCACTTCTAATTTCTGCCACAAGGAATTTGTATGAAGAAATTATGTTTATGCCATTAACGCGCAGAAAGAAGCATAATTTGGTCCGAACATTTCTTCACTTCTAATATATACTAATATCACTTCTAATGCTCTGATGCAAGATGCTTAACCGTATCTCACAGTAACAGGACTGAGAGGCCATATACCAATGCAATTTGCAAGCTTATTTTTGAAGAATTCAAGCAAAAATATGCACTTGAAATACCGTTTCCTCATCGCTATGCCTTGGAATTCTGAGTACCCCCTCAACAGCAGAATCATTTGATGCATTACAATCATGTGTTTCTTCTTGACAGAGATGGACATCAAGCCATGACTTCTTTACCTGAACTCCAGAACCAGGCAGACAGATTTCCTTTAATCAACTTACACAAAAAAAGAGACTCAGTGGTTCAGAAATTAGATGCAATTGGCTACAACTCACCTCTTCGGGCAGAGAGGGATTATCTAGTATTGAGTACTCTCTGATATTTATTCCTGGGCCAAACTCTTCCTCTGGGAGTTCTCTCAACATGGCATTCACCTGCAATGATGGCACATTTCGTTATTTGCAAAGAAGTCTCCTGAATTTTAATACGGGGACCAATTGTCCCCAACAGAGTTAAGGCCCCATTATGGAAAACATCAATCCTCAGGCAACAATTTCCATAGCTAAAGCAAGTGGCATTACCAATGTTTTGGACCTTTCTAATTTGGTTCAGATACTGCACAAATTGTTCTTGAAAGTTATTGGTTACTTACAGATTAATAAGATGAGTTGTTTAATCGGCCACATCATCAAAAGCACAAATGAAGAATGGCATTCAAAAGTAGCTACTCGAAAAAGCAGGAAATACCTCAAATACATGATCCAAAGGGCAAAGAAAGGGTTGCCTAGTCATAGTTCCCTCCAGAACACCAGGATGTGGAAACCATAGCCTATCTAACCTGCACCATAGCGGAGGCATGACCTAAACATGCACAAAGAGAAACCAGTTTAAAATATAGTTGTAGATATAAAAAGTAAAATGCACTAGAAAAGCATCAAACATGATAACTCAAACGTGATAACTCAGTTTTTCTTCATTTCCTGTGCGATCGGAAACCAATTGCATCAACGAAAGTAGGAAATGAAGAGCTTTCTAACCTGTTAGAAGATTCACTTATAGTTTTATCAAAGAAGGACATAGATGGCCATGCCAGGCCAGTAAAACTGACCAACATTACCTCTGCAATCTAATAATTTTTTCCTTAGCCCAACCAAGCTCAACGTAACATCATATTTTAAGGTGGTATTACCACAAGAAAATTTGAAAAACAAGAAGTTTGTTCCTTTATCATATTATCAGTGACTGATTAGTTCACAGAACTCATAACAAATTTTAAGATATTGATAACCGATAGTGTTAACATGAGAAATTTTGTACTTGTTTTGCAATTATAATCCTGGAAAACAGTTCTCACCAGAGTTCTTCTCAGAAGAGAAGCAATAGCAAGTGCCGTCCTTATCTGTTTCATCTGTACATATCCACACACAATATAATCAACAGGATGCAACATAATTTCCATTCCAATGCTAAAGTAAAAAGGATCAGGTCAATACATGCATACTTGATAATTAACCAGAGAAAAATGTGAATCAATGGCATGCTTCCCACTTAGTAATAAGCTCCTAGGAATAGATGGCTTAAACAACAAGAAACCCCCTGCAAGAGTTACTAAGTAAGCTTGCAGTACTATCATGCATGGAAGTCAGCAAATAAGACAAGCAGATACAACAAGCATTGCATAAACAAGTTTAAGTGTCAACTTTCAGTCATCAGTGTCAAAGAAGCTACATTCAACAACAGATGGAATAGAAAAACCTTCATACATGATAAAAGGATTGCTACAAGAAAGAGTGAAATGAGTGTATTGGTACTTGCCAAGTAATTTTTTTAAACAAAAAATTAACGGTCTGACCCTAAATTGAGGAAGAAATCACAAATTATTACCAGGTGGATTATAGTACTCTGGTGGGTCATAGAAAAGCTTTGCTTCTCGAAGCCGGTGGCGCTTTCCTTCAGTGCCTCCATATTGAAATGTTGTGTGCACGGCATATGGCTCTAATCTGAGTTGCTGATGCATAGCCTGTGTAACACGCAATTATATTCCTACAGAGAACTTGTCCCAGATTTGATGTTCCAGTATTATAGATTACGAACAAGATTCCTCCAGACAGTGAATTGCATAAAAAATGCTAAAGGCATAGTGCAAACAAACCACAAAAAGAAAAAGAAACCAAACTGTTAAAAGCTATTAAATAGGTTGTACCTGCACAAAATATGTATGCCCACTACAAAAAATACTAGCAGGAAAAATTCCCAGCTTCAGATTTCCATCAAAAGCATAAAATAGTCCACTGGCCTCATCAACAGACGGTCCTAACTGTCTGTGTACAATGTCATTAAAACCATTCTGATCCCATATGTTGTCATCAGCTAGAAGCATTTCTTTCCATTCCTTCGCCAATTTTTTTGCAGAATCAGTAGGCCTCCAATGAAATATTCCTATGTTGTAGGCAGCATTAACTACTCATGATGTAGCACAATGTCATCAGTAAGGTAAATGTCTGGTTATGACTAATTCAATAAGTGCTAGGTCTCACACGATAAAATGAAGAGAGAAGCAATGGGTAAAATTTAAAAATAAACGCAAAAGGCTTCACTGTCTTTCATTCTTCTAATTTAAAGGCAAAGCAAAATAGAAGCAAGGCCTTCTAAAGTGAAATGGGGCACCTAATAATTCAATTCATATCAATCAACAGAAAAGATCACGCTACCATTCAAGAGGGTCACAGATCTAAGTCCAAAGACGTCATTTGAGTGAAAAGTGATCAATTAAGAGGCTTGCGTCATTCATAAGCATGTTTGCTTGCATTTAACATTAAAAAGGAAAAGGTTTAATATGATAACTAACACAAGCAACATTGAAAGGATATATCAGTAAGTTCTGCTCATGGTTATAATCATCACCTTCTTGCCAAATTTCCAGACTATCATCAATAACTGTTGGTATGACTTGATCGCTTGAAGTTAGAACATCTGCATCTGGATAACGAGCAATATATGGAAGTGGGTTCTGTCCCAAAACCATGTAATGCAATGTATGTATGAGGAATAACATAACAATCACGTCAGAGAGATAAAAGAATATGAGCAAAAAATGTGATAATTTATAAAGAAAACGACATGAAGAATTCATAACAATATCTCAGGATAAAGTGAAAGAGCAAGGTGAAAAAGAAATAATGCTTTAGATGATAAGGAATTGAAGCAGACGATATGACAATCAAGGTGAAAAATAAAAGTTATCTCTGATAACACAAGGTAGATAAAAAGAAAAGAAATTAAGAAAGCATTTCTGGCTGCTTCTTGAGTATCATTGTGAGAAATTATGCAATTACAATTATTCACACTTATAAGTAAAACAATTCCACTGGTGACAAAACAAAAATTTAGAAATGGAAAAGCACACCTTCAGCCAAACCATGTCAGTGTCACACATCAGCAGTTCAAAACCAAAAGGCAGCATTGAGTTTATCAGAAAAACTTTTTCTCTCCCCATTTTGTGAAACGTCGGAGAGCCCCAACCAACATCTTCTGTGCTCATACGGCTGCCCATGTCAAAAACAGGTACCCCTTTCCAATATAATGCCTGCAACAATTTGGTGTCCATTGCACCTAGAAGAGTAGATTTCAAAGTTATTTTATAAATTCTAATAAACTGCACAGGAAAAATAATAGCAAATGAAATATAACATTGAACAAGACACATGGCAGAAAAGAGTATGCTCACCAACAAGAAAATTAGAAAGTCCAAGATCTGTCAAATGTTTAACCCAGGTCAGAATAAAATCCTTGAATGCATAGTTACCAAAGGTCACAATTACAATATTATCTTTCACCCGTTGTTGAACCAATTCTTTAGTCAATCGGAAAGCCTCCAAAGGAGGCATCTTCTTATTACGCGGTGGAACTTCCCATACAGGATTAATCCATACACCTTGAGGACCTAGGGCAGGTGTGGGCACAGCATGCCCTTCATCTGACTGAGAAAAGTTGATTGTTTGATCTGTAAGACAAAAATCTTCATCAGGGAAAGTTCAGTTAAGATCGAAAATCAGACTCGCCCAAGAAGGGAAAAAGACTATTATCTTGATGAATTGAAAAGCACCTAGCACAAGGCGCGGTTAACATAACTGAGGAAGGTAACTAACAAAAGGAATTATTTCAAAGATCCTACTAGTAAAGCAGGAGTGCTCAATTAATAATTCAACCACACACGTAAACTTAGAGAAAGAGAGCCTAACTGAAAGATTGATGAACGTTAAAAAGGTAAAACGGTGATTTGTGATAAACGAAACAAAGGTCAGTCCAGAAATCAGACATACTGACTTAGGTTCTCTTTCTCTCTATCCATCCATCTACAATCCTCCGATT